ATTTTATAATTTTGTTGTTTTAATAGCCAATATTTTTTATTTAATATTTTTATATTTAAATTGTTTCAATAATACACATCTTTTTTATATAATTTTTAACAATTATATATTATTTTGACCAATATTTTGAATCTATAGTCAGTTTATTAATAACTAGACTTATTTTTATGAAATCACATAAATAACGTATTGTACATATTATTATATTTATTAATATTCACATTTACAAATTTAATTAAATATTGCAATATATTTAATATATATAAATATAATAATATAATCAAATATAATAATATATTTTTGGTATATAATTTAATGTATTTTTTTTTTATATATTTTTTTTAATATAATTTAATATATTTTTATTTATTTATGTATATTTATTTACAACTAATAAAAATCATATTATTACATCTTATATTCACAAGTACTTTATCTATATTATATTTTTATGTATACATATGAAATACTTAATTAATTTGCTTACTCATTTGGGAAATGTAACACTAAATTAATTGAAATTAAGTACATACATATATACAATACATAATCAACAAATATACGCACGAGAACAAAACTTTCTGCTTTATTACCCATGTTATATTCACCACAAATATGATGCTTTAGTGGTGAACCAACTAAACCATAAAGACAAACTAAACAACTGACAAATATTTGCTTTACGTTAGTAGCGCGTCAACAGAATCCAAAAGCAGGCAGCAAATAATACAACTATATTCCAACAGTGCGCAACTACTCGTACTAGCAGAGAAGTTTGCGGCAGTTATAAGTTGAGATGTCAAACGAAAGCAAAAGTGTATGTAGTTAACAGCGACGTTCGCTGTGTATGTTAATGCTCGCTATTCACTGCTCCTAAAACTGCTGCTGCCGCTGCTGCTGCAAAAAGTTTATGGTTTGTTTTGCTTTGTATATTTGCGTTTTTGCTTTTTCGTATTTAATGCAAGCGCAAACCTAGAATTGGCACAGTATTCCGGGCAACTTTGCAGTGTTGATATCGGTGCCTTTGAAATACAAGAAGTATAAATCTAATTAATTAAATAATTTTGTGTTTACACTATAGAATTAATTCATTTTTGTGTTAATTTTTTATAATATAATTTTATTTTTTTTTTAGAATTTTTTATTATTTAAAGCGAAAAGTTAAAAATTTTGTGTAATTCTATTTTGTGAAAATGGCAAACTTAATAAGCTTACTTATCCTTTCAATTGCTTTGTTCGCAACCTCGGCTCTTGCTCGGCCAGGATATGCTGTGGATTATTATGTGAGTTGGAATTTTGTGTTCAAAACTAAGATTTCCTTTTCCAAAGTGTTTTAGTACAAATATTATTTAAGATATGAGTGAAATTAAAATATTTTACATATTTAATGTTTATTTTATAAACATTTTTAAATGTAAATGTAAATAGATAACACGAAATTATTATATTTTTCTGTATCCCAAAATTAACAATTTAAAACTACGTGATCATAAATTTTAAACTTTATTAAAATATGTTTTTTATATTATTTATTAAATATATAATGTATTTTTCTTTCCTAAAATAAAATAAGCAATTAATTTTTTATATAAACAGTAATAGTAATAAGTACTTGAGTAACATATTTAGTTTTTTTGTTTACATAAATATGTGTTCAAATCTAACGTAACATTGTTATTTATGAGTTTAATAATAATACTTTGGTTAAAATATATTAAAGCAATTGATAATTTTATGTTATAAAAAACAAATAATCCGTGTATTAGCATATATATATATACTTAAATGTATTTACAATTTGTTTACATTTTTGATAAAAACTATTTTTTTATATTTTATACAATAAAGTTCATATAAATTAACAATAAATATACGTAGAGTCCTTTATATACAATTTACATAACGAAACTCGTAATAACTCGACTCATACTCAATTTTATTTTAACAGAATAACAATGATTTAACATTGTGCTAAAAATTTTAGCATACCCCAATAGTTTTGTATTATTCTCAAAAATATTCATTTATTATAAACTGAAAATGATTAAATATTTTCAATCTGCAAGGGAAAACTTAACATACTTTATTAACATATATTAAAAATATATATATAATAGATATATATGTAAAAATATAGTCAAAATTAATAATTGAAATATTACAAAAATCAACTGACTAGAGTAATCGTCACCTTAATAGGTTTATTTGTATTTTACAAGAAATATCCTTAAAATAAAATTTGGGCGTAAAAATATCTTTATTAAAAACTTGATCAAGTTTTAAACATTTATTTTTAATTTTTCAAATAACTTGAGTTTCTACACATTAAAACTAAGTAGTTAAATTTATTAACTGCTATTTAATGTACGTAGAAATTAGCAATTAAATATCAGAAGGCAATCCTCTTAAAATAGTATTTATTTAAAGTTTCCTTCAATTAACTCCACTTAAGCAGCTATTAATGTTTAGCAGAGCCTTAGCCCTACGTTAAGTCAAATCCAAAATTTAGTTTGGTCTTAAACCATAATTTGTTGCTTAAGGCTACGCAAAGGATGCTAAACTTTATTTCTCTGTTACTTTAACAGTTATTGGTAACAGCTACATTTTTTTAACATATTGTGAGACTAAAAGCCAATTTGTATAAAGAAATTGTTAATAATTAAAATTGTAGAAGATAGTTTTAAGGATAAATATTATAATATGTTTGAATAAAATTTTATATATATAAAACTTATAAATATTATAATATATTTGATAAAACTGGTTTTAAAGTTTCTTTTCATTTATTTGAGTATCTATTCAGAAAATACTTAATTCATTTTCTTACAATATATGCAATAGCAAATTAAAAATTATTGACAAAGGAGGAAGCAGAAGGTGGTGCATTTTTATAGATGTAAAACATTGTATACATTTTTTAAAAATTATTTTTTTAATTTTATTAATTGTAAATAAAATCTGTAAAAGAACATTCAGTATTACTTATGGATATAAAGTAGAATAAAATGATATGAAGACATGTGCAGAACACTCAGAAGTAAACCCCGCTAAAGATTAAATTACAGAGCATTATTACATGATTGCTGTGCTGTTCTGAAGATAGTATACAAATACTAGCTTATAGAATAATAAACTCTAAAATTGTTAACAATAACATTGACTAATAATGGGAATATAAAAATTACAGTTTTCTTCCACATAAATGTTATCAGATTTTAATAGATGTCACAGCGTCCTTTTTTACATTTTATTCTGAATTACTTAAAGCTATTTATTAAATTTCATAATGCTCACCTTATAATTAGATATCATTCTAATGCTATTTAGATAAAGATAAACTTTACATATATATAATCCCAGCATATCTAATCTTTATAGGATCACCCCAAATATGCTTTTAATTATGGCGTTGCGGATCACACAACTGGTGATGTGAAAGCACAACATGAGACTCGAGATGGTGATGTTGTTAAAGGTAAGATAAATTTTACAATTAATTAAGGCTCATAGTTTTTACAATTTTTTTAAAGTGTTATTTACTAATTATAACAAATATATATTGATATAAAAATACTTAGTATTCAATATATAATTTTTGCAATTTTTGTAAAATAATTCTTTATTAGTTGGAACAAATATAAAGTAATATAAAAATACTTAGTGTTGCTGCTATACGCTAATGAAAAATTGGAAAATAATATAATATAATAATTATACTTAAAAAATGAAAATATAAATAATGATATATATAATAATAATAATTATAAAATCAAGACTATCTTGGAACATTTAAATAAAATCTTTTGGTGTTTGTTTCTAAATTATTATATATTTTTATTCCCAATATAAAGGCCGAAGTTTGAAACTTTATTTAACTTTTTTCTTATGCGATGTATTAAAAGTTTACAAAAGAAAATCTTTAAGCAATTTACATTTTTTATGTAAATAATCAATTCCAAATAATTAATTAGTAGCAATCAAATAATTTAAATACTATTCCATAATTATTTTTCAAAATACATAACATACATAACATATGCTGACGATGATAAAATGGATAAATTTATACATAAATAAGTTCATAAAAACAAAAATTATAAGAAATTAAATAATACTTCATTTAATTTTCTTAATTTATTTTTTAATTTAATTTCATAAATTTTGTTAATTTTTAATTTAGTATATAGTTTTTGAACAAACGTCCTAAAGCTTTAAAAATAAATATACATAAATAAATATATATAAAAAGTAATATATCTTATAAAATTAATTTAATTTTTAATTTTACAAACAAACGTCATGAAGCTATTAAAATAATTACGTGTAAATAAATACTGAAACAAATTTAATATATAATATATAACATTACAATAATTTCTTTTACTTTTAGGTCAATATTCTCTTGTTGAGCCAGATGGTTCAATACGTACAGTCGACTACACAGCCGATCCAATTAATGGTTTCAACGCAGTTGTCACCAAGTCAGGACCCACAGTACACGCACAAGCCGTAGTAGCTAAGCCCGTCATAGCACACAAACCCATTCTGGCACATTATGAACCAGTAGTTAAACATGTAGCACCAGCGCCAGTTGTGGTGCAAGCAGCGGCGCCTTATGGTAAGCAAAATGCATGAAAAAAAATAAATTTTAACTGAAGTTTGTTGCTTAAGTCTTTTGTTAAAGCTGTAAATTTTGTCTTAACAACTTAAACAATTTACTTTAAAATTAAAATTTCTATATAAATTATGAAAAACCTCAGTACCAATAAATTTTCCCACCCTCAACTCAATTACCCACATACAGGGTACATTACACTGAGAGTAATGTTGTAGTAGTTGGTTGGTTCACAGTTGTTAACGCACACAGCACCACCTAAGGTTTGCACCTATCAAACCCCAAATC